AAAAAAAAAAAAAAAAAAAAAAATAGCCGAAAGCAAAAGTCCAAAAAAGGACACGATTTTCTCGAAGTTAGCCCGAGGGAGACACTAGCTGGCAGAAGAATAGAAAGCAGAGAAAGTGAGAAGATGAGAATGCCGGCAGAGTCGTCGATATACTGGGACTCGGTCGGTTCCCAGCGTTCCACTTCCGTTGGTAGCTCCGGGGACGCGTGCAGCTCCGGAAGTGCCAGCAGACACTACGTGGATCCGTGGGATCTGGAGAACTATGCGTACCTGCGACGGCACAGCGTTGCTGGCCTGGCGCAACAGGCGTCGAGACATCATCGACGATCCACCTACCGATTTCACCAAGAGGCACGCGCTCACTCGGAATATTGGTGAGTGACGACCATTAATAAATTAACGACGTTTTAATTAACCGATCTGATGAAATTCATTGTAGGTGACTCCTCTGTTGCGACATCCTCAATCTTTTATGTTTCTCGTTATGCCAACGAGAACCTAGATTTTTTCTTTTTCTTCTTTTTTTTTTTTCAGTTGTCGTTTTTTACGTAACGTTTGTTGCTCTCCAAACCTTGAGGAGAAATTTAAATTACTTTGAGAAAGAAACTGACTCCTGAGAGAGAAATCTCTTCTAAATGTCTTCTTAGAAAGAAAGTAAAATTGTTAGAAGCTTGACTTCTTTGTCCAACGAAATGAAATTCTCTCCTCGGTTCTAAAAGTTCATGTCGAAGAAAATCATTGAAACGATCGAGCTTTCACAATTTTATTGTTATTTCGTTTTAAGAATTAGAAATCAATGTTGGAAGAAATTCTTCCTCTCTTTTAACAAAGAAACTTGATTCTTGAAATTTGGAGATGGATTGGTCGAAATTACTCCCTTTACAGTTACGTTTCGTATCCGCTAGAAATTGCTGTGTGGTTGGAAAGAAACTGAGTGCACATGTTAATTAAGTAGAAAGACTGGTATCTGGAATCTAACGAACCTGGTTAATTGAACAGCAACACTGATAGTTTGAGGTCTAATATAAATCTTTGAAATAAAATACACGTATCAGTCGAAGAAATCTTTTCAGCAGATCAAGGTGATCAAGTTTTGGTACATATTTATTCCAATCTTGAAAGAAAATAATCGTTTGCGCCTTTCAATATTTAAGAATTGAATGAAGGATATAAAAGATTTCTTATTATCGAAAGAAAGATTCTGAACGACGATAAAAACTCTTGTTCAAAATTGAACAATTTCTCTCGACAATTTAAATTCAAGACTTGTTCGATAGCATGTAGAAAAAAAAACAAATTATAAATTTATTTGTACCTTGATTATTTATAATTGGAATTGAAATTTTTCCCTAATTGGAAAACTGCGCGAAATTTTCAATGAATTCAACAGATGAAACAAAATCTATTTCGACTTCGTAAGAAAATTTCTCGAATTTCCACTGAGAATTCGAGCGTGGAAACGTTCGCGGATAAATCATAGTGTCTGAATTTCCACTATGAACCGTCTGATAATCGATCTCTCCGCGGTGTGTTGCATAAAACCAGCGTGTATATACAACACATTGTTTTTACAGGCGTGATATTTTCCCCTCTTTCATTTTTCCGCTTTATCGTTCACAGTCTGTTTAACCCGGTATATTTTTTCATAGGCTGCAATCTGCTCGAGAAAGATCGTTATCACACTGGGTGGGTGCGAAGTAGGGCGCTGTGTTCTTGAGTCTTGCTCTCTCGCGTGCCTGATACTTATTAAACTTTGCACACCTTCGTTTCGACGCATCAAGGAAAACGCGTGTTGCGCATACACATAATTTTCGAAACATGCTTTTGCTTCTTTCCTTTTTTTTTTTTTCACAGCCGCGCCAAAGCCTGTATTCTCGATATTGCACGGAGACGTACGAATAATAATGAAGCAGAAATTCAAATGAAAAGCTGCGATAATTATACGATTAGCTAACTCGAAAGGAAGTGTTAAATTATTTTGTTTGTAGAAAATTGGGCGAGAAAAGATTCTCATTATATTGATTTGTAGTAATTTTTTTTTCTTAATTAAATTCATATTGGAGAACTGTGTGAAGTTATTTTGTTGATAATTTCACGACTGGAATCGTTCGAATAAATTTTTGAATTTCGTTAAATATCATTTAATTACGTGTTGGCGAGATAAAGTAAAGTTTCGTTGCTCAAGCTCGAACTCGATTGCAATTATAATTAATCGCTCTACGTGATAACGAAGGATCGTCACAAATTTTTCAAATGAAAATCGCACTGTCTCGTTTTTTGATATTCCTATACTTGTCATCACGCGGTAAAATTTTTCATGTGTAAATTCTTCATCTCGTAGAATACTTTCCTAACGATTCCAATTCCAAAACAAATGTTTGCTCGAAACTTGTACGTACGAACGAAAATGAAAAAAAAAAAAAAAACCGAAAAGTAAATCTCAGAAATTTCTGGCAATCTTATTTTCAAAAAAGGAAAAAACAGCAAAGACATGTGCAGCGCGCGTAAAGGATTGCGCAACCAGATGCTCCAACGACCACCGGATCGCAATTACAATGGAATTTAATTGCCGGAAAGAGACACTTCCTTCAATCGTAATAGACGTCCGTCAGTGATCCGACGTGGTGCATTGAACCACCGTCAAGTGTAACGCTGTTTAAATCGATCATTCGTATGTCGGGTCTGGTGAAAGGCGAAATCCCCCGAAGTGGTTTCGCGTCGTCGCTGGCTAATTTAGCGAAAAAACGCCTCGAGCCACGTTTCTAATAAGCGTCGTTGCCGGCAAGAACAGCGAACTTGCCTTTAAAAGGCGATTTCACAGTTTGTTTCTTGTTGGATTAGGGCTCAACTGTCCGGCAACTGTCCTGCAATTTAGATAGAGACGGTAATCGCGCAGGGGGGAGGAGGTTTTCACTTTTTGCTTCGCGAAATTGTTTCAATCGCTACGTTAAGATGGATTTATATATGTGCTGTGATTTCACGGTATAATATTATACTGTATACGGTATAGTACATATAATAGCTTTACATTACACTATATTAAATTAGTAGTATATTTCATACTGCAGTATAAATATAGTATAGTATTAAATTAGTAGTACATTTCATATTATATTATAAATAGTATAATATTATACTGCATACGGTATAGTATATATAATAGCTTTACATTATACCATATTAAATTAGTAGTATATTTTATACTGTAGCATAAATATAGTATAGTATATTAAATTAGTAGTACATTTCATATTATAGTATAAAGCTATTACATAATAACTAAGTATAGTTCTAACACGTATAGTAATTTTATAACATAATATAGCTCAGTATTGGAATATTGTAGTACAATATATTATTGGAATATTATAGTATAGTATATTAAATTAATAATACATTTCATATTATAGTATAAAGCTATTATATAGTAACTAAGTATAGTTCTAATACAGTAATTTTATAACACAATATAGCTCAGTACAATATTGTAGTACAGTATTTTATGGCGTATAGTAATTTTATAATACAGTAGTATAGTACAAGTATAATGTATAGTAGGCAGTTATCTCTCAAAATATTTCAGAATCTTTCTCTTTATGCTCCTCCCTGTTAAAATATAGAGATTGTATGTTACAATTAAATTTTTCGAAGAAAAACAATCATCAGCAGAACCGTCAGAAATCATTTAAAAAGAATTGTGTTTTTAAGGGAGGAGTTTGGAGAAGTAATTAGGGAACTGGTTGCAGGTATTCGTCGTCAGTGAGAGAGCCCGGCTACGTCGCGCCTGCCTTCGTGGAAGAATTGTATTGTGGACCAGCTAGACTGGCGAACAATAGTTGCTACTATCATCAGCCAATCTACGAGGACGAGGTACCGGATTACGTCGCCCCGTATCCGGTCTACGCGCCTCTCTCCGGTAAGATTAATTGCTATTCCCCTGACGGTCCTCATCGCCCGTCGAATCGAGGCCTCTACATTGAATTAGACACGCAAACAGCAGAAATTGTTCTCAGAAGGAAAATTAGAATTCACTTTTCTTAGATACAAGTCTTTGATGACAGTTTCATAATAACAGTTTCTTTGATAACAGTTTCATAAACTAACAATAAATGGTTTACTAATGCTTCACTACTGCTACTTGATAATTATAATAATTCACTATTAATGGAAAGTGTATAGTAGTTTTATAGCATATCATACTAATTGCTAGCATATTAATTTGTTAAATATAATTCTTTGGTAAATAAGTTTCTGTGATTAAACACGCAAACAGCAGAAATTGTTCTCAGAAGGAAAATTAGAATTCACTTTTCTTAGATACAAGTCTTTGATGACAGTTTCATAATAACAGTTTCTTTGATAACAGTTTCATAAACTAACAATAAATGGTTTACTAATGCTTCACTACTGCTATTTGATAATTATAATAATTCACTATTAATGGAAAGTGTATAGTAGTTTTATAGCATATCATACTAATTGCTAGCATATTAATTTGTTAAATATAATTCTTTGGTAAATAAGTTTCTGTGATAAACCAACAATAAGTGGTTTATTAATATTTAACAATTATAATAATTCATTACTAATTGTAAGTATGTAGCAATCTTATAATAACTGAAAGTGTAGTACTACTACATTGTATCAGCACATTAATATGCTAGTTGCTGTTATACAACGATATTTCAGTTCAATATTACTTATGATCTCATTGTAGTTACATGCAGTATTATTACAGTAACTGAATATTTTAATTTAAACTATATAATAATAATATATTTACAAAGTTAATTACATAGCGAGAGTTCCTTGACCTCATACATGTGTTTGTCAATCAATTTAACTTCAAGATTATCGTTAATTGAATTTCAACTAATTTCCCCAATCACTTTGTCCTAAATAACTTGTACAGCCAGTTCGCTTTCAGAACCACATGTATAATTCATACATTCACTACTCGTTCTTACGCCACTGTGTCCATAATTCTAATTTCCTCCCTCTACTTCTGTCAGAGAGATATAACTCTATAGAGAGATATTTCTTGGACAAGCTTGAAAATTGGGTCAGGTGAAATCCGCAGGAAATTATGGTGATACAAATCATCATGCGTCTAACCAATTCTAAAGCAAGTAAAAAAAGAATGAAGAGATTCTATTATAATGAATAGATAAACTACATTTAGACGAGCTGCTTCCAGCTCAAAGGCATCATCAGACCGTTTTATCAAGGAAAAGAAACGCTATTCCTGGCAAATACAACAAATAGTGAATACCGATATAACTGTGGTTGGTGAAAGCAAGTGAAAATCAGTGTCCACGGTTTTCTGATTGCGAATATCGGACCAGCATAACTATAGAACCGTTCGTGGACCTAGAACTTCCACTTTCAAGGTCCAGATCAAAGTAGAGCGTGCCTTGTGCAAGACTCGCCCCCACGTGTGATTCTAATTTAGCTTTTGATATTGAATATTCTCAGCAATGAGTGCACTAAATGGTTCTCCTGATGTAAATCACAAAGAAATCTGATATACGTTGCCAAAAGTGACTCAACTGTCTGATCTGTAGTTTATCTTTCAGACTCATCAACTTTTTAATTAGATAATCACATAGTCAGGTTTTTGATGATCTACGATGGATTTGTGTTAGACAGATAATTAGCAGGGAGTTGTTTAATGCAGAAACAGTTATCAAAGTGAACTATCTGTCAGAGAAATGATCTAGTTACTGAACTTGATCTCTGTGCATCGTAAAATGTATGTTAAAATTGAGTGTTTAGTCTAGTACTACGTAGAATGTTATACAGATGATACAATAATTGTTCACTTATTAAATTATATGATATGAAAATTTTATTTTTTGGAATATGATTGGGGAAATAGTAGAAAATCTCTTCAAGTGTTGAATATTGCAAAGAGTACTGTACTTTATAATATTTTGTATATATTTTTAGCGACGTTCTGCGCTTTCAGATTTCCCACAAAATACATAAAAAGAGACTCAAAGAGACTAACGTGTTATAAAAATATACCAAAAATACGAAGATTGAAGATGAATTTCTGTTTCTCATCTGTTACATATCCATTCAGTATCAAACTTTCAAATTTTTGTCAATTTTCAGTACTCAAAGCGTTCAACGTGGATTATCCCGAAGTGAATCATTTGGCAAACAATTTTTCAATCATTGGATTTTTACAATTTTCGGGAACAAAAACATTGCAACGCAACATTGCACGATGTGAGATCGTCTCTTTGAAGAAACGAACTCACTGTCGAAGATAGAGAGAGTTCTATACTCGAAAGTGAAATCGAAAAACAGATTGTAGTATCATTTTCTTCTAGGAAGTTGTAACAGTTCAAGCTGTCTTCCTTCGTTCGAAGCTGTTGGAAACGAGGAATACGGGATAAAAGTGACGTGGAAGATCGCGTGCTCGAGAGCCACAGGTCGCGGTCGAGTTACTCTTTCTCTTGGCCCGTTAATTGATATTCATGCACGCGGTGAGCAGCCGGTTACGATTCGAACGGCGGTTTATGGTTATGCAATTGGCGCGTTGCATCGATGTTGCACGTGCCGATGCGTTTGGCTAAGGAACGCACTTCCGTTTCGGGTCCCGGTTCAAAAATCCTATTAATGGTCACGTTGCGGTGAACTGGACTATGCCGTTTCCTCCTTTTTAACCGACACATGTCCACTTTTCATTTCTTTCCTTTCTTTCTTTTTATTCAGACACTTGCATCGAAATCTAATTAAAAGACAAATGATAATAAAGCGCTATTATGTAGCAAATGTTTCATACTACTACGTTAACATTATCACGGCGGAATTCTTCATTTTAAAGTAGACTAGCAATCTGGTAATTATTATCATACATTTCAATCTAATTCCTGTCGTAACGAATTTTCTCAACAATCCAGATTTCCTTGCTGAAAAAGATCATTACATATTGGAATAGTATATGAAATAAAGATGAGTAAATGATATGAAAACATTGATAATACAAAGGAATTTAAATTTAACATTAATATTGCAAGAAGGGATTTTTTTTTTTTTTTTAAGGAAGGTGAATAAACTCTGTATATTGTAATTTTCTCTTGACGTAAAATGTTCGATTACGAGCTGTATAACAGTTGATTTGAAGTAATTCGAGTGGTTATGCCCGGTTGGGTGTGTCTTGAAAGCGACTTGGCAGAAATGGAATTGATTATAAGTGCGGTAAAATGGAAGTTCTTTTATACACTGAACTGATATAGTTCAATCGAAAGTTCTTTTCTCGCGTGAAATCACTTCGAGATTTTTCCTTCGTTCCTAGAGAATACGAATGAAAAGTTTATTATACCGCGATAAGATTATACCAATTAAATTCCAATTAAAATTTCGTTCGTATAACAAAACAGAAGAAAACTTACACTTAGCTACGCGCTCGTACGTACGTGTTTCAATTTTCATCCCGAGAGTTACGACAGCGATAAAAGTAATTAAATCGGATCGATTTGTACAGGGAACGATCGCGTGGAATAACACTCGGTGATAAAAACGTTCGTCGCGGTTCGTCGTGCATCGTAATAACTCGACCACGATTTCTATCGTGTCCTAGAAAGTTTGGTCTGTCGCCTTAATAATGCGACGTGGCGCTAGTGTCGCGAGTACGCGTCCTCACACGCAATTGTCATTTTTTTTTAGCGACCTTTCGAACATCTCTCCGCTTTTACGCGTAAACAAATAAATTGCGTACGATGTGAAAGTGGAAAGACCAGAGTATTCACTTGTAGTTGCACATCATACAGTGTCAAATTATGTCAGATATTTCGTTTATTGCGCTACGTGTCAATATTCCTCAATATTTCTCGTCTTGCATTACAATTCTATGTTCTTCAGCTGAATTATTCTCTATAGGGAATCATTAAGTTAATTTGAGTTCTCTTTGCTCTCTGAATAATTCTTCGGTCGCGAACCTTCCTAAGTCAACGTCGAGGAATAAGAGGAAAGGATCAGAGATTGTAGAAAGAGGTTGTTCTCACTTTGGTGAACGCGTCAGAAAGTGGCTGAACGAAATTGCACGTGTCATCGCGAGCGATTTCCACGTCCTCGTTCCGAATCCGGCGAGCCTTCGTACAAGAAAAAAAAACAGTCGAAGGCGTCGGTGGGCGTCGAGACAAACCAGATTAAAATCAACATCTACTAACAATACGAACGTTTGTCTCTTGGAACTTTTTTTTTTTTTCATTTATTAATGCGATACTTTTTTTTTTATTTGTGAACCAAGAGAGAGAATGTAGATTATTGGGACATTTAATGGAATTGTTACAGACGTGAGACACGGTGAATTCATGGAAGACCACAGGCGATGCAGACACAGATGCAAATCTGCCACATCCATAAGAGAGTTTAATAGGTACTTTTTTAAATTACTAGACTGCAGATTTTCATTCGATGCATGGAGAAATTTGAGAATATATACTATTCTTGATATATTATTATTATTCCTATTAAATATTATATTATATAATATATATATAATATTTAACGGATTTTCAATTAATTTTTATCCAAATTCCATTTTATAAATTTCATTTGCAAAAATGCTGAACTGATTTATTTCTTAGGTCAATGAGCGTCGATCATAGTCTCCCACCAGTGGACTCCATTGAATTGGGTAAGAAATTTGAATAGTCACAATTCTCCGTGATTTAGAGACTTCTGTTAATTACGTACGTGTTAATTTCATGCTTTTAAAAAAAGGAGAGAAATATTTGAGTTCTCAAGAGATAGATTTCTATTTAATGTAGCGAATGGAATATCAAGTTGTACGTATAATTTTCTATGTTTAGTATTTTCACCAGTTTAACATTTCTCGACAATTTTAACATTGAAAATTCAGTTTTATAATTAATATCACAAACTTCGTCGTTTTATCTTCACAGATATGCCAGACTATCGTTCTCGACACGAATACCCATGCATGGAACAAGAAAAATACATGGTACAAATTATTCCGCCCCCACATTTGGACCTAAATACATACGGGCATCTAAAAATCGACTACACCAACAGTTGGAATTCTCTTAATCGAAAGATCAGTAAATAATTTCACTCATCGTCAAAGGGATCAAATTAATTTATTTCTACTTTTTATGCATATATTTTGCATATATTCTGATACTTACTAAACATTGTCAATTATTTATGTAATATATATATAAACTTAAAATTGAACCAAAAATTATTTCTAGTTTGACTCGAGTAACGAAAATCGAAAGTTAATTCTTTTTATGATAAAAGTTAATAAACATTTTACATTGACCGCAGTATAGTATAAAAGATATTTTAAGAAATATCTATCAGAGTATCTTTGTCCTCGTAAAATAATTTTCTTTTTTTTTTGCCACAGTTTTTATCCACAGTTTCCTCTTCGTTCTCCAATGACGTGCCATTTACCCTTTCTACGCTCAATTCTGGCCATCTATAGTTTGCATCGTCGAAGATTTAAATTAAAGAGAGAATTTAACATCAAACGTGTAATACTTTAAGAAAATTTAAGAAATTAGAGAAATTCTTGGATTTAAAAGAATTAATTATTGGATTTAAAAGAATTAAGATGCAATTTCTTGAAAAATGCTACATAAATTTAGGAAGATTTCTGAATTTGAGGAATTCGGTAAGAAAATAAAACTCGAAAATTCGAAGCTAATCATTATTTTAAAAAAAAGAAATTCAAGAAATTCAGGAAAACTTTGTAGAATATAGAAATTCAATGAAAAAGCCAAAGTGACAAAGATGATCATTAAAGTCAAAAAATTTTAACGAGTCGATTGAAATACAAAATTTGATGTTAATAACATGATAAATACAATTGAGAACGTTCTAAAATTGACGAGAACGACGGATAGGTTAAAAATTCGGAATAATACCTAAAAAACGAGACTTTCCTTTTGTTGTTCCCCAAATTCTTCGCACGTGCCCCTTTCTTCGTTTCGCACTGATTGAAACAGAAATATCCATTCTACATAATGGTGAAAATTTCATGGATTATACTCTAGGCAATAGGAATTGTATAATTTACGGAAGTGGATGCCAGTTTCGCGTTCTGCAGCAACACTTTGTATCTCTGCAGTTCGTCAGAGTGTTGCTTCTTCAGCAACGCAACATCCTCGGTGTGTTTCTCCTCTTGCATCAGTAATTGCGCTTTCAAAGCCTCCATTTCATCTTGCAATTTGCACACTGTTGTTGATGGATGATATAACAGTGGCAATTGAACATCAGACAATTAGTAAATATTATTGTACAAGAGTGATTGACAAGTGGCGGAGTTAACGAGCGTTTAATTAACAACCGATGATTGATTATTGTTGGTGAAATTGAATTGCAAACGATAACTGGTAGGAAATAATTCTGCATATCGTTACAGATTATATGTGTTTGAAAAAATTGACAATAATGCGCGAACAATTTTAATTCAACAGAGATAACGAGGACAATAAATTGTCTGAAATAAATAAAACGAATAGATTAGTGTCTACTTTGCTAAATAAATTTTCCGACAACATAAAATAGAATAATAATTTTCCATTCTCTGTTTCGCTAAATACTATGAATTGAAATAAAATGAATTCTTCAAAATACTTTACTAATTAAATAAAATAGATGGATTATTTTACAAAATAAATTTTTCGAAGCAACCTTCTTTAAATAAACAGGCGAATTTTTCAAATAACAAAAGAATAAATCGTTATTTTTGTTCTTTACTTTGATCAGCGTTTCCACCACGATCCACATTGACCAGACGTAAATGATCGCACTGTTCCTTCAACTCTTCGTTCACTTTACGAAGTTCGTTCATTTCAGTCTGCAATTTCTCAACGGTAGACTTGTATCTTTTCTCCAAAAGCAGATAAGTGGCGGAGAGTTTCTCCAAATTCTCTCTCATTTTTCCGACCTGTTCCTTTTCCATTGACGCAGCCTCCTCTCGTATCTCGCAGTAAGCTTTCAACGCAACGTACGCCTGTCAATATTTTAACAATTAGTAAAATATTCAGAGAGAGGATACGTACGCATTGAAACGCAGAATGAAAAACGATGGCACATTTCGAATTCTCGTGAATTCCTCGAGAATTCCTCGTAGCTCGGAGTTGATGCACTCCTCCTCCACCATTTTGGAACATTTCAAAGCTCGAAACTCGAATCAAAATGATTGTTTTAATGGAGAAGTGAAAATGAAAGAGGCAATATGTCAAAGTGTTATTTCTTTTGGTATTTTTTTATGGTTACTTGCAAGTATTTTGTTTTACGTTCGAGAGTGATCATGTCGAATTAAACTAGGAAATTATGGGAGATATTTGAACTTAGAATGGACACGAACCACGAGGTTCGATCGATAACATTTGCGTGAAAATCTGTTCTAACCACTAAAAATTATTTAAACGTGACCTTACCCTCGATTTCTCGCTACTTTTCATTTAATATTTTTAGAAGCACCTATTGTTTTAATTTAAATTGTTTTTTAACCTGCAGAGCTCAAAAAAGTGATTAATAAAAATTTGTTTCTTCAAATAGGAAAGTAAAATGATAATCTCAAAAGATTGTAAAGGGAAAACAAAATCAAGCAATTTCGATAAAACTATCGATACACATGATCTGACAGGGAATTCTTAAAGTATTAAATATATATTTTTTTTATAAATTTCCTAATCTCTTAAGGTAATACAGTATATGACGAAAAATCAAAAATTCTCTAATAAATTTCCCACTTGTATCCCAAATATTTATAACATGTATCAAGAAAACTTTATTATACAGTATACGGAAGTATTAGTTAAAATTTTTCATAATTAATAATAATAATATTATTAATATATTATTATAATAATTATTATAACAATATTATTATAATTATTATTATAACAATATTATTATAATTATTATTATAACAATATTATTATAATAATATATTAATAATAATATTATTAATTAATAATTACGGAAATTATTAATCAACTTAATCGAGCTGTCGATCAATTCTCAAAAAAAATTCTCTCGATTGGCAAAGCATCGTGTTAAAAAACCAGATGATAACGATCGCGGTTCGTTTTTCCACGAAGTTGTCCACGATCGTGGCTACGTTTCGTTTTTTTTCACCGCTCTCTCTCTCTCTCTCTCTCTCTTTCTTTCTTTCTCGTTTGACTGGCGTATCGTGGCCATAAAATGACAGGAATTCCCTCGGGGCTGAAAATGCGCGATGCAATCTAAATCCACGATCACCGTCAGCCACGAGAACAACGCCGATGAATCGATGGAAGAGTCTGTTTTCGAGCAGATATGCGACACGATATTCGTTCTGATACCCGAAGGTCTGGCGCTCGCTCGAAGTTCCTTGGAGAAACGAAACAGAGAACCACGAATATTTTTAAGTACAGCGCTCCATTTATAGAAAGATAGAAAGAAAGATAGAAACGGAAGTTTCAGAGAAGAAACGTTATTATTATTATTATTATTATTATTTTCAATTATATAAAAGATCGTGACTTCATTTACTATTTGGTTGGAAGTTGAGCTTCGCGAAAATTAAACTTGTCAACTCCATAAGCTTCACATTTTTTATTTAATTTTATTTTCTGCTAGTGTTTGCTGTATTGACACTGACAAATGAAGAATTTCGCAACTAGAGGCTGCAGATCGTGATACAACATTAAATAATTAAAATTAATTCGAAAGAGAATTTTCTAAATCACGAACCATCTATTACTCATCTAACGTACGACGATGTGAACGAATTTTTTTCGAATAAATGGAGTTCTGTTAATTTCTCCACGACTGGAAAGTTTGAACGTTCCAACGTTCGTTTATTCATTGCATTACTGACTCTATATCGATGACTGATAGATGCGTATTTATGATGGGGTTCTATGACAGTGCCGCGGCTGAAGCAGCTGTTTCTAAGTTGGAGCCAGCTAGGCACCGAAGACAGAATACAATTGGACGCGAAAGTGGCCAACTGGTGCTGTCCTAACAGGCGGCAGCTATACAAACCACTGCAAGAGGCGTTAATTCGCTGGGAGACTCTACAAGACACTCAAGGTTATCCATTAAGAATGTAAAATTCACTTCTTGAAGTTAGAATGCCTCTCAATTCTGAATTGGAATACCTCTTTAATTTGGAAGGAATTTGTTTCATCTTCCATATGCATGTGTTTCACAATTTGAAAGTGATCAATTCGATTCATTATATTAACAAGTCTGCAGCAGCTCCATTACTCTGCAACATTTTATTTTGAAAAACATGTTACAGAAATCCTCAATCTATTCATTTTGTGTACTCCCAATCATCTTTCGGGGAACAAAAAAATATATTAACGTGCATAAAAAAATTTCGTCGTAAGCTAGAACGCGATCGTCCTCCCAAAAGAAAAAAAAAGAAAAAAAAGAGTAGGAAAAAAGCCTCGATCGCCACCGACAGACAATGAATTATCGACTCGAGCCACGATCCATTAACGCATGATTATTCATGAATCCGAACAGGGGCTCCCGGTTGCGAGCCAGGTATGGTCTCGTTTTCCTGCGACCCACAACTGGAGGAGGAGCTGGTCAGCGTTATTTACAGCCTGGAGCTTTTGTTCACGAAAAATCGACGCGGCCGCGAGATCGACATGGACTACAGGACCGGCAGATGCGCGGAATTAAGGAGAGAGATGTCGTTGGGTTTGAATTACGGGGAGGGGAATCTGCGTTCAATTCTGAGCCCGAAGGAGAGTACGCCTCACTCTGTGCACAGTTGCAGCTACATCGCCGATTTCAGACGATCCGACGAAGAACTGAGCGGCTACCTGACTGACTAACCATCGAAAACAAATTTTCGATTTTGAGATTGCGAATTCTTTTTCGATTCGCGGATTAGATTCATTGACGAACGAGTGGATTTCCTTGGTTGGGGAGAGTGGATGAAATACATAACAGAGCAAGGTAGTGTACAAGCATCAAGAAATACAGAAATGAATAATTTTGGAAAATGTAGGTTTTTGGGGGGGGGGGGGGGAGAACGGGGAATTATGCAGACGATGAAATTTCATAAATGAGACATTGATTAGTATTTGAATAATTGAATTATCAATAAGAGATACTCGATATTATAACAAGTAAACATTTAGCAATATGAAAGAATTACAAAAGTGTAACATTTGAATTATTTTTATGACTACCAATATTAGACATTATTAACACTAAAAACGTATCAAAAATATTTATTATCGACGTATATACTGAAATGTCTAAGAACCTTTTTTCCGCCTTCCAGGAACAGTGTGCAAAGTCAAAAATTAAACGTGAAAAAAACTTTTAAAAAGAGATTCGGAAGATTAACAAATACAAATTTTGTATTTCACAGCTCAATTAAAACTATGACACTTTTTCGAGTAAAAATTAATTAAAATATTTAAAACGGACTAAAATTAATCCAATGACAATTGAAATTGAATTGACATTTAAAAATGAGAAAGAACAGCACCAATTAGTGACATAAAATATTTTATTAATCATCGTTATACGGTCAAGGTGTACGAGTATACATTCAAATTAATACGATTCAATGAATTTTATAAGAAAACCATTCAAACGATATTATAAACGAAAGTTACGTCCGAATCATAAAATCGTGTCTTACTCACACCATAAATATATACCACCTTGTCCATCATCATCATTATCATCATCATCATCATCATCATCATCATCATCACCATCATCGCTCATCCTATATCCAATTTTTTTTTTCACTTCGTTATTATTATTATTTCTTTTTTTGTCATTTTCTTCTTTTTTTCTCTAATAATAATCATTACACAGCAATAATAAGTTTCAGGACGAACACTGCTCCTTACGAGAGAAAGGTAGACGTTACACAATACATGATACACATGAATTAAACCGGGAGAGCAAGGAACACCCCGTCACTATCTCTCATTCTCGTTTATCCGTCCAACTATAATTTGTTTTGTGCTGCTTGGCTATCAAACGTGAACGTGCCGTTCCAGAACATTCATCAAACACCGGCATTAATTGTTTATTCATTTATTTACAGAAACGGTCATTCTAAAATCGAGTTACATCCTCAAGTTCATTAAAACGCAAAAAAAAAAAAAAAAAATTCGTTCGAGAGAGAACTTGGGTTATTCCAGATTATGTGGGGTCGTTAAGTACTATCAGTGCTAGCTAAATGACGCCTACAGCGCTGCAGGGAAAATCTCGAAGGAATAATCGAAGTTCTTTCTTCTTTTCTCTCTCTCTCTCTCTCTCTCTCTCTCTCTCACTCACTCACTCTCTGTTTTTTTCTCTTTTATTTTTAATAGAAAAATCCACGAATCTAGGGCCACAGAGAAGAAAACAGGTTCCTGCTTGAAACACGATTAAGCTATTCTCCTTGCGGAGGAGAGGGTCGTCCGAGGTCGAATTCAGTTTGAATCACAGCTGTCTGTCAACTATTCGTCCAATAGTTTGATTGGACGAGTTTTTCTATTGCTACTAGTTTATTCTTTTTTTTTTTCTTTTTTTTTTTTTATTTTTATCTTGGACGATATCCAGCTTCCAGAGGCCTTGGCGAAGCAGCTCTCGAAGAAACGTTCCAGGCAGTGGCTGTCCTATAGCATTCTGTGGCTTCTCGAAACGTCAGAAGGCCTTCGAATTTGATGAGTCTTTGTTTTCTTCCTCTTTTTTTTTTTTTTTTTCAAAGCGGAGATCGCTGTTGAACATGGTGCCGCCGGTTTTTCTTCACAGAAGAAATTATCTGAGTGGAGTACGTCGCAAAATCTGGCAGACTCGAATGGATGCTTGGTTACGGGAGTCTGAATTTTACAAAAAAGGTCCAATTCGTGGCGACACCGATTCTTCTCTCTCCTCGAGCTGCTTCGCCATCGTGGCCGTAAGAACACTTGTACTTGAACTCTGGCTCGTTTCCCGAGAATTATACAGCGCGTCTGTCTCGTTTCAACGTGGCCTGTCTCTCCAACGCTTCGTTTAACTGTGTCCTGAGCATCCTGAGGGGGGAGGGGGTTCGAACCTGTCGGGGAGAATTTCTTTTTTTTTTTTTCAGAGCCTTCCTGCACTTCACTAAACAACTCGCAATTTGACCAAATTTATTCTTCGCGGCACAAAGTAAATTTAAAAAAAACATTTTTTTAATTTTTTAAAATCCTCCTGCCAAGACACGTCACAGTGACAGATCAATTTTTATTAATAATAATCAGGTCAAAAGAGGTCGCAAAATCTACACTCCAATTGTTATAATTAATAATGTAGCGGCCTATCGTTACTTAAATACAGAAATCGAACACCGACTAGCACAAGCCGCAAGTGGCTGTGCGCTTATGTCGAAGTACTTAGCGATCTTGACGTTAAGCAAACAGAGTGCGGAACACCGCTAAGATGGGTGACCGTCAGGCCTTAGCTGGTAATTACAATAAAAAGCGTCTGAGGACAAAAGAGATCGCTGCCATCAATCCCTCCTCTGATGAATCTAGGCAGCAATCCTGAGGAGAAAGGCCGCTACATCTTTCTCTCACCTAAATCCCCCCATCTATAACCCTTCAAATGAAAAAGAAGGAAAATTGAAAGATACCTTCTTTCCAAATCCCCTTCGTTTATCCAACAAATAGTAATTTATCGGATAAACGAAATGAATTGTGCAAGAGGGCCCAAGTGTGCGCGCCCCAAGATACAAATTAGACCATTGCCCATACGTGGCGCGCGCTTTCAGGCCCCTGGGATTTCAGATCCCAGTTGCAAAACTTGCACTCGCTTTTCATGCTTTTCCACAGAAAGCTTTCAAATATTGACGCGCTACAACGCGCGTCAGCTATACAGAAACTGATTCTCCAACATGGGAAAAAGTGATTTCTGTGTTCTGCCCCCCCCCCCTGCTTCTGTTCATTTTACTCATTCATTAGGTATTCATTCACGTGCGAGACAAGCCAAGAGCTATCGGCAAGAGCCTCGATAGCTTTTTATTCGTCGAAACGATCGGAGAGAGGAACTAAGTCTTTTTTCCTTTCGTTCTCTATCTTCAAAACACGCGTGTCGTCCTCGTCTGCCCTCGAAATTATACTTCACTCGACATTCGATTGATAATAACCGTATCATTGACAGACGTATTGCTGCTGCGGTTGCTTTTTAAAAGCGTTTTACTGCTTAGGGGCAGACGTGGACTGCGAATATTTCAGCAATTATTTATTATTTTATTTCAGCAATTATTTAGTATTTTATTTCAGCAATTTTGTGACTTTGGGAATATGAGTGAAGTAAATTTGGTCAGTCAGAATATTTTTATTTATCATCAGTCTGGATATTTTATAGATTTTTGCACGCTACGCGCAGTTGACACTGGTTGTTCGCTGTGTCTTCCTCGTAAATGGTAACTTTTTGAAAAAATTTGCAACATGACAGCGCACATCAATTTTCTGTAATTGTTCAAGAAATGGAACAACGGTTGTTGCTCAATTTTTCAAAGGGAATAGTTATTTTTTAATCCACTATTCGAGGGTTTGACATTTTCCATAAAAAAAAAGTATTGTGTCGAAAAATTATTAGTTTAGTAGATATATTTTAACTTTAATTTTGTAAAATTTATACATGAAAGACAAGAACAGTATAAACACAAGAATACTGCCCCTGTCCTTCCTTGTTTTCTATAAGATAGATTTCACAAAATTGTAATATCCCCTAAATAATTTTTCGATTTTTTCTTTACAGAGAATGTCCAGCTCCATCCACTTAATGGATTAAAAAGTATATCATACCATTCCAAAAAATGGTCACTCTTGTTTTTTGAGCAATGTCGCAAGTATAAAAAATGTAGTGCGCCATCATGGTGACTATAAAAAAAAAATATTACAATGGTAAACTTACCATTTACAAGCTCTGTAATACATAGCGAACATCCTGTACATTTACACTGCATAATATATAAATCTCTGATTTTTTTTACATGACTCGATAAAAGTATTTGTATACTTTGCTTTCGGATACTTCGAATATCTTTTTTTTTTTATTATGTGCGTACTATAGATATACTGCGCATTGAGCACTTCAAATATTATGCACATTTTGTACATTTTTGCACAAATTTCACACAAATTCAGGAAAATCTGCAGTGACACTCGTGTTTTCAAGAAAGAAGGTAACGATATCTATGAAATGGACGTTCTACGACTATCAGCTTTCTCCGGAGCCATTTTGAAAATTACCACATAATACATCATGCTCATAATTTTTTCTATCTCATACTTAGTCATCATACTTAGACTGCGGATTTTATGTAATTTGATACAATTTTATACTTAATTTATGGTTAACTCGATAATAATTTGATAGATACATCGTTATTATTTGATAGATATATCATAATTAACATGACACTAATTTGATAATTACGACTAATTAGAATTAGAAATTAGTAAAATGAAATAAATCGATTACACTAATTTGATAAGTACCAATTATAATACTAATTTGATACTTATCTGATACTTAATTGATACTCTATAATTAACTTGATAATTAATTTTAGAAATTCAAATAGAATTAAAAATTAGTAAAAAAATGAATCAATAATTCGAATAGAATAAAGCCTAAACCTAAACTTATACTACGTGTTAGAGAATTTTCAAAGCCAATTAAAAAATTAACTCACACATAAAACAAAAAAAAAAAAAGCAAATTAACATAAATCCACAGTCCAGTCACGCTAAACGATTCACAACTGATAAAATTCGGCAGGAATAAACTTATCGTAACGTGAAACTCAAAGGACATGGTGGTCCCGAAGTGTTTCTGGCCCTTTTCGACTGTCGCGCCATCTGAGCGTGGATCGGTCCATGAAAGCAAGATGACGATTCGCACGCCATCTTCGGGTAGGGGAGTGAAAGGGAAAACGATCGTTTAGGTTACGGGCTGTTACGCTAAAAGTTACGCTCCCACAGGCAGCACAAACGTATAAACAACTTAAATTAAATAAAAAAAAAAAAAAAAAAAAAAAAGAAAGAACTAACGTGTTAAAACATACGTTGAGACACATTTGCCCATACTAACGATAAGTAGGGGCTAAAAATTATACACACGATCCAATCGACGTTTACCATACACACGCCATTATACGCAATATTCTAGATACGAAACTCTCACAGCGGATCAAATATACTTTTTCTCCTCGGTCAGCAAAAGACATCCAAGTTTGTACGAAGCTTTCTTCAATTTTTCTTTCCGAAAGAAGTCAGTTTTTAATCTTCTCCTTTGTACGAACTCTTCTTCTTCGAAAAAAATTGTTCCAATGTTCCTTTTTCTTTTTCTGTTTTCTTTGTACGCGAAGGAGCGGCTCAACTAATACAAAATCTTGAAGAGAACATTCCGCATATTTGCCCCAGCTTCTACACGTGATCCTTTCGTGTCATTTGTTTCCCCACGTGATTCATCGTTATTCTTCATTATTTCTCCTTTCATCTTCATTATCATTCCTTCTTTGTTTCTCGGTTAGCTTCTATGCGTTGACCGATTTATGCGATCTGCGTGTTTCACGGGCGCAATATATAGGGGCTTCAGAAATGAAAATGTTTTTCTGCTTCAGCTTGTCTATTTTCTATTCGTTTCTTCCTTTCGTCTTGTTGGCTTTCATCTTTCTTTTATAATGGTTTCTTTTTTCTCTGTAATGCAGTGTGGCTTTTCCTGTATGTGCCTGTTTTAGGAAGAAGGTATTTGAGTACACCTTGGCCTGAGATCGAATGACTAGCATTTCCGGTTGTTGTTCGCGCCACTGTTTTGGATGCGCAAGCGGTCCTGGCGGCGTGGCCGTTTGCCCTTGACACTGAACACCTCTCTCAACTTGTTACTCCTCTCCAGGCGGCCTCTCTTTAGAGCCTGCGTGCACCTTTTTTCCAAAACCTGCGCACAATTTCAATCATATTCAGACGAATACCCACCGAAAGAAACGCGATATTAATCAAAAACCACCTTCCTCCAAAATGTACCAAGCATGCTTCGGTATGCCTTTATTCGAGATTTTCACGGACCTAATCTTTAGAGGAATATTCGTGAAAATTCACGTACTCGCAACTATTCTAAAATATAGGGCAAACGACTCTACGAGATAAGGATAAAATTCAACGTTGACGTACCCGATAGGGCCGCGTACGGGATTTGGATCACTCTGTACAACCTATGCCTCCTAGCAGCTGTTACTCAACCCGAGTAACTCGGACAGACGTAAGCTAAGCAAAAAAAAAAAGAAAAAAAAAAGTGTATGACCAATTACATACATAACCTTTTGCGCCGATCGTAACTGAGCTATCCTTTGCTCTGTTGTGCGCGAACGATCGGCAGGGGGTCTGCCATCGTGGATTGACGGTCTACGATCCTCTTGCTCTGCAATTTGACTTCTCCTGGGGTTACGACGTTCCGGCAAAGCTTGCGTCGCCATGGCCACGCTCGCGCCGGGTACCACGTCTCGCAGAACCACGTTTTCCTCGACGTTACGTTCGTCAGGCGCGTCCGGCGTAGGCGGTGGGGTTTCGGGGGCGACCGGAGACGCTGTGGCCCGGTAAACAGACATACTCGGGTGCTCTATTAGCAGGTCCTCTAGCGGTGACGTCTCTACGTTCACGGGTCCCGCCCGTGTGAAACACGGCGGAGGGGTTAGGTACCACGACTCCTCCAGCGCCGACGCGCCCTCACCTTTAAATTTTAAAATACGCGTCTATAAAATTGTCACACTGTATAGTACGAGCTGTGTAGTTGATTAACCCCTCAAGGTTGTAATCAACACCTCCGTAATATCACATACTTTAGATTTGCGCGTACAATTTCTTATTGCTAAATAGATTTTTTTTTTTTTTCCTTTGAAAAATGGCGTTTTGTACAAACTGTGTGATATATTTACGTGGCAATAAAGTGGAAAAAAGATACAGTTTGCATAGACCTTGAGGGATCAAAAACTATATGTCATTGTATTACATTGTATAAGATTTATATTTGTAATTACTAGAATGTATATGATATGTATTTATGTTTATGTTCAAACATAAATGAGAAATTCAAATATAATTCTTTAATTAGTCCAATATAAATCTTATAGTAATAACAAGCGTTCGCTTCTTGACAATATTTTGTACTAATCAACTTATCTTGACGTTCTAAATGTAATTTATTTATGAATTTAGATTTTCAATGTATCTACAAAACTTACGAATATCGAAGTTCTAAATGTAATTTTGTAATGTTGTTTGATTTTGACACGAACATTGTCAAAAAGCCGACACTTATTATGCACGATAGTTTTAACAATCGCTTCGATGATCTAAACTGTCGTTTAGATTACTCGGGCTACTTGAATTCAATTTGTTTGTTGGATACCTAAATTGGAGTCGAGGGAGGAAGTGGTGGAACTTGCTGGCGATTCTGTAATAATGAGAGAAATTGCGATTGAATTGTTAAAAGCATAAAAAAAAACAAACAAAAAATTATAGAATCTCGCCGATTCTGTGAAAACCCTCATGCATGCGAAAAAACAAATATTGCGCCAGCATACTGCCTCTGCAGACACGATCCATACACATTTCTTCCTTTCCGTACGTCTCAAATACTTTTACAAACAAAAGGTACAACAAAATATATAATTTTAGTCTAAGATAGAATTAACAGAAAATAAATATATAATTTTAGTCTAAGATAGAATTAACAGAAAATAAATATATAATTTTAGTCTAAGATAGAATTAACAGAGAAAAAAAAAAAAAAAGAAAAAGAGGAAAAAGAATATTTGCAAACCGAAACTGTCTTACCTTGATACATATTTTTGTCTCGAGTGAGAAGTACAATTATACATCCAAAGACAAAAATCATACAAACGTGAAATAAAGCTCAAAATTAAAACCCAACCACCGTACAAAACGAGCAAACTTAAAAAGCATCAACAACCAGCCTAAACTCCATCGAGAACAGATATCAGAATACACTCCGCGAAGAAACCAATCAAGCTAAAGAAAAAAAAAAAAAAAAAAAAAAACAAAAAGCAGCATTTGGTTCTCTTCTGGACAGGAGTAATCCGCGTCGTGTACATCGTTGCACCGGCGTCCACAGACGCATCTCATTTTACACGAGAAAGGAGGACACAAAGGCCTCCCTCGGCTCGTGTGAGAAGCAGTTGGGAGTGCAAGATGGTGGTGTCTATGTGTTTGGCTTGGGTGTGTACATCACGAGAAAATTCCCTAGGCTTTCGAATTTCTCGAGAGCCCGTGGCTTTGCTCCTTTTCAAAAGGAACGACGTTCATCTCGCTGGCTGAAACGTACCAGCACGGTCAATGAGGATCCAGTCATCGCCCTCAACCTCCACCTGCCTGAGCCTCGCCATTACCGGGCAGGCCTCCGGGATTTGGTTATTGGACCCTTCCCGCGAACCTTGCCCGCCGGTGATATTACCACCGAGTAGGTAGTTCGCTAAGCTGTTCAGCATCCTGATCTTCTTCTTCTTCTTCTTCTTCTTCTTCTTCTTCTTCTTCTTCTTCTTCTTGCTCTTTAGCCTGTAAATACCAACAAATAACGTTTTCTCTCTTTTCTTTCCAGAAAAAAAA